TGATAGCTCCAATCCCAGCCTGCGCTCAGGACCCAGCTGCACTGGGCCTGTGGCAGGGTCACTCTTCTTAATGCCTATGGAGATCTGCTCCCAGCCTGCCCAAAGACATCATTGCTGATCTCAGATGAATCCTGGCTGAAAACAGAGTACTAAAAGAATGTCTTTCTGAGTTTTATAGACTATGCAGAGGCATTTGACTGTTTAGATCATAACAAATATGAATTCTATACCTAAATCATGAAGCTATTGTCTGAATGGAGCAAAGCAACACTGTATGGTTTAAAATCAGGAAGGGTGTATGTCAGAGTTTTATCCTTTTCCCCATCCTTGTTCAGTCTGTCAGCTGAGCAAATAATTCGTGAAGCCAGACTCTACAAAGATCGGTATACGAAGAGGAATGTGGTATAAGGGTATGCAGATGCTAGTTTGCTGAATGTGAGGAGAACCTGAAATACTTGTTGCAGAGAGGATCCAAGACTACACAAACTTTAAATATGGATTATATCTCAACATCAGGAAAATAAACCTCCTTACGACTGGGCCAGTGCACAACATCATGATAGACGGAGAAAGGATCTACAATTAACACTTTTGCTATCAGCAGTGGAGATCGAGAAACCTATTACTATGGGCTAGTCTGCTGTCAGGGACCCCTCCAAAATACTGAATAGCAGTGATGTCAGCTTGAAGACTAAAGTGCTCTTGATTAAGGCAGTGGTCTTTTCATTTATGTGCTTTACATCTGAGAGCCAGACAGTGAATGAGGATGTCAGAAGGATAATTGAGACCTTCAAGTTGTGGTGTTGGAAAAAAGTGTGGAATATTCTGTGGACTGCGAAAAGAACTAACAGATATGTGTTGGAAAAGTTCAGAGAGCCCCTTGGAAGCAAGAATGGTGAAGCTCCATCTCTCATACTTGGTCCTGTTGCTAGAAGAAGCTATTCCTAGGATGGGATATCATGCTTATTATAAAGGTGGAGGGTCAGCAAAAGATAAAAAGACTCCCAATGAGGTGGATTGAACCTGTAGCAATGGGCCCAAGTGTCATCAGAGATGATGAGGATAGCTCAAAATAAAAGAGGATTCAAGTTTGTAGTTTTTAAGGTTGCTATGAGTCATAGTCAGCTCAATGGCACCTAAGAACAAAGATCACTAAATGATTTTAAAAATTGGAAATTTTATTACTAGTGATAAAAATGTCAAAACCCACCATTTAGCACTATTAGTGTATTTTCTTTGTTTCTTGTTACTGATTTCCCTGTTAGTACAGAGCCCTGTTTGCACAGTGGCTGAAAGTCCTCAGCTACTAACCTCAAAATTAACCTTTGTATTTACCAGCCACTCCACAGGCCAAAGATATGGAAGTCTGCTTCTGTAAAGATTTACAAGCTTGGAAATTCTATGGGCAGTTCTTTGCCTTTTTGTAGAGTAGGAATCGACTAAATGACAGTAAATTTGGGTTTAAATCTAACAGAAGTATAAGGCTATTAAATATGGGCAAGAACCTGGAGCTTGAAGAGTTCTTGGTGGTGATTTAATAAGTTAGCAATCACGAGAGACTTCTGCAGAGCCACAAGTTTTCTTTTGCTCTCGTTGCTGGTTGAAAATTGTATACAGGGGGTGGGGGGAAATCAATAGAATATTTTTGGCCTTTTTAATTATTAGAATTATGTAAAACAAAATTTATTTTTTTATGTTAATCTTTAGTCTTTTGATGTAAGGACTTTGACTATCATACATGTTCATATGATTATTTCCCTATTCTTGTTTTTTGATGTTGGTTTTTTGTTTCTATTGTGGTTTGTTTTTTGTTTTTTTAAAATAAGTGGTAAGGGTGAACTTAGAGAGATCTGGTTACCTTGTCTGTTGGGTGTTGCACTACTGACTCAAAGGCAGTGCCCCTCATTTGGTTCGAATCCACCAGCCACCCTTTGGAAAGGAGATGGGCAATCTCCTGTGTATGTCACAGAGGCCAGCCAAGTTTAGAGTCAGCAATGAGGGGGACCCCATTTGACTACAGTGAATAAGTGAATGTATGTAAGTAAGTAAGTGAGAATGAATTTAAAACCTTTTCAAATTAGGTATTTCAATTTAAGACTGATAAAGGTAAAAAACAAAAAAACACTGACTGGACTACTAGTATTAGTTCAAATAATACAAAAATACTCTTGTTTTCCTAGACTTTTATTTGTAGATTGAGAAGCATTGTCTGCATTTTGTCTGTTTTTAAAAAAAGTGATGAGAGAACTCCCTCTAGTGTCAGAAATATCCTCCTAAAGCATTAATGTCAATTACAGGAAGTTTTGGGAATTATTTTGTCTTTGGATCTCTGGACATAAATTTCATTTTCTTTCCTTTTTGTTATTCTCTTTTTCTTAAAGGCCTAAAAGGGATGGGGCATGGAATGAGGGCAGTAGGAAATATGGGAAAGGAAGAATCAAAATGCCATATTTACTTTTTACAAATAGTTATTTAAATGACCTGGAATAAAGCCAGATTATGCAGTAGAGAAAAAAGGGTTTGTTGTATTTTAGTTTAATTTCCTTTTTTTTTCTAAATTACTAAGCACAGCTTTAAAAGACTTTGTTTTTCAATTCTTTATGTCAGATTTCATCAAGAGAGGATTCTTTGCATTTTCTGAGAGCAACAATTTCACTGAAAAATTGCATTAAAATTAAGACTGATTTTCTTTGTGAAAGTGATCTGTTACTTTTTATTCTTATATAGCCATATCTTTCTGTGGGCATAGTTTATACTTATTATATGTACTAATGGCAAATTAGCATTCTACATAGTTCCTCTTATTTTTTCACTCTTCAAAATGAGATTTTTAAATTACTGGCTCACTGCCATCTCTCTCTAAATGTGTAGCACTCAAACACAAACCTTCAACTAGGAATCTTTTGAAGGGTTATGGAAACAGAACCTTTCCCATTTGACTCATGGGCCTTTGTAGCTTGAACAAGGAAAGTAGTGTTCTGAAAACTGGAGCATTTTTGAAACCTCTAGTGAAAATATTTCAAGTACATGAACCGGAGATTAACTCCTTTCACCATGTTCTCCAACAAATTAAACAATGCAAACAGATTTCAAGTACATTCTTGGTAATGAAATGCTTGGGTGAATTATAATCTTAATTGCTATTGTTCATTTCCCACAGCTGCATTTTGACACTTTTAACTGTCTAAGCCACACATTCTTCAGCCACTAGCATAAACAAAAGCATTCTGAAATCCATCATTTTATGGCATCTTAAATTGTAAATCCGTCAGTGGCTGCCTTGATTTTATTTTGTCTTCATTGTTGACAAAATTAGAAAAAAAGATACTCTTTTTCGTCTTCTATATTTACTTTCAAAATTATTGTCAGTAGAATCTTGGATTGTTATAAAAATTCATTCAGTGATTGTATTACTATTTTAAGGAGGCAAGTTGAGTTTGAATTTATGTCCGTCCCAGGGAAATAATTTATACTTATTTTGTCAAACTGGTTGATATTTTAGAAGACAGCTTTCGTCATGATTTGAAAGAGTGTAGTAAGAGTTTATTTTTCTTCTTTAGTATAGCAGTCTTCTGACTACAAATTTAGAAGTCAGATTTATTTAGTAATTTCATAAGTCACATCTGTATGCACAATGGTTCTTTTAAAACTTGAACCCAAGCTCTATAGTCTCTTCCATAAAGGTAAAGAAATTATTTATAATGCATTTAGAATTTCTGTTTATATTTGAGAAAAAAATTGAATGCCAGTTTCAGCCAAGCCTTCTAATTACAAACAAAGCAAAACTTTTTGATGAACAAAAAACTAACAAAATTGGAAGGTATAGATAGCCAATCCCAATTTTTTTCCAGTTTTTTTATAGCAGAGAGATTTGAATAAACATATTCACAGACATCTTTTACAATTATTATTTAGTAACAATAATTAGAACTCGAGATGTTAAATGAATAGAATACTTCTATACATTTTCACAATTATTTCATTATTCTTTCTCAGAATGACTAAATTGTTAACGTTTATTTGAACTTGAGGAATTATTTTAAGAGCTAAACATTTCTTAATTTTGAAGTTTTTTCAAAGTTAATTTTTGGAAAATATTTACTATTTTTAAGTTTTAATAGGTGATTATTATCTTTAATAGCTTTAACATTAAATTAATTAAAGATCATTATTTTTAATGTTATTATCTAATAATAGCATGTAATGAGCACTTCTATAAGTCAGGCACTGTGCTAAGTACTATTTGATGTACTGTAAAATAATTTTGAGGCAGATATTCTTTTTATTTTAATTTTTACTTTGAATAATTTTGGTTAAGGAAGTAATTAGAGCCAAGCCTTTCTTCTTCCTAGAACCCATGTTCTCAATCACTATTGAAATCTTAAAGGAATGTTTACTACATGATCGTAGTCGTCTTTTGGTGGAATAGTATATAGCCAGTAAAAATGAGGATTACTCTGTTTATCTAAGTATATGGAAATTTGTTTGTAATATGGGTGGAGGGGAAAAGACTAAGTGATTTCAATCAAATATATATTTTTAGAGAATGTTCTTTTTTGGCATTGTGCTTGTTTCTTTAGTGTAATTTAATGTTCAGCTGTTAAATTTTACTTACTAATTTACAGAATTTCTGTAAACTTAAATATAATAAAGCAGATGAGTCAGGAAATTGGCAGTTTAGTTTTATAATATAGTCTACCAGTTGAGTTTACTTTTTCCTATGACCCAGACCTTTTTTTAAAAACTGGACTTAAGCCAGCTCTAATGTAATTTCTCATCTGTATTCTTGAAGGCTAATGGAATAGTAAAATTTTCTTAAAGATAACCTAAATGTATTATATGGTATCCTTAGGGTAGCTTGTGCATGAAAGATGTTTTCTTTCCCACCCTGTAAAGTTATCTCATTAGGACACCCAGTAGTGTCATTATTAAGTTTTCATGTGTTGCTCAGTTTTGATGCTAATATTTGTGCGTATGTGCGTGCATTTTTTTCTCTGCAGCACCAATGTGGTTATGAATTATTCAGAAATTGAGTCTAAGGTTCGAGAAGCAACGAATGATGATCCTTGGGGACCTTCTGGGCAACTCATGGGAGAGATTGCCAAGTAAGTGATAATTTGACTCAGCAGTGCAGAAAGAACCTAAGTACTTTTACCCAGACATACGAACTTGGCTTTAGGTTTTAAAGTCTTTAGCTTCTCAACTGAAACTTTGCATAACTTTTGTAATAAGGCTAATAGGTAGTTTTATGCAGGGTCCATTCTCTTGAAAAAATAACTTTAAAAAGTAAAACAAAATGTTGCATATTTTAGTGGTTCCCCTCTCCACCAGCAATGTTGAGATATTGTAGCTATTTATGTAGTATTTTCTACAATTTTTTCCCCCTGATGAACATCTGTACCATTTTTCCAATATATGTAAGGATAATAAAGGCTGATAGTAACTACTGACTGGGGTTTACAAATGTGCTAGGTATTATACAAAATATAGGAAAAACATTTTTAAGGAAGTACGGGTTTGTTGTTTCTTTTTTTTTTAATATGCTTACAAATTTTTTTCTGTTCTTTGGTGAAACAGTTACTTAGAACAAGCCTGCCATCTACTGTCAAAATTAACATATTGCGAACTCTTAAGGAAAATTACTTTTATTTCCCCCAGGGCTACATTTATGTATGAACAGTTTCCAGAACTTATGAATATGCTTTGGTCACGGATGTTAAAAGACAACAAAAAGAATTGGAGAAGAGTTTATAAGGTATGGATAGAAGTTTACTTTTATTGTTTGAAATAAATGCTTAAAAACCTCAAATACGTAAAACTTAAGGGGGGAGGTGTATAAAATTTTGGAACACATTACATCGTAGAACAGCATTTTCTAGGCAGGTAAAAGAAGTAGACTTATTACAGTATACTGTTTTATAGTCATTATATCAGTGTGAAATGTCTAAAAAGTAATAGTAATGTAAATGTCTAAAAGTAATAGTAATGTTTGAAATGTGTAAAAGTAATAGTAATGTTTCTAACTTGAGTATTTAAATTTATTTTTCCACAAAGCATAAAGCTTCTCATATGAAAATAAGGAATCTTTAATAGTTTGCATGTTTAGCCATGAACAAAAAAACACAATTTAAAATAGCTTATCACCTGTACGTAAAAATTTATGTAATTCATAATTTAACACACTATTCTTAAATGTATTATTATAACATAATTTAAAATGTAGTAACTAAAGATTTTAAAACATCAGATTTTAAATTGCAGTATTTAAAAATGAACTCTCATTCAGCAAAGTCCTTTTCTTTTGTTCTCATCACTTAATTATATACTACAGAATTCTACAGCCAGATACTCTTCTTCTTCCTCCATGTTTTCTTGTGATTCAGATTAATTTTCTGTACTTTCCAAAATGGCACAGGGCATTTGTATTTGAAACTTTCAAAGTAATATTTGACTATCAAGACTGAATAAATCTATATTTATTTCCTTGATTTTTTTCCTTTATTTGTTTCTTTAAGACATTCACTGTCTTTTTCCTGGTTTATGCAATAAGTGTGATCAAATAGATGAAATGGCTAAATTAAATTTACTTTTTTAAGTTCTCAAGTGGACTACTTTTTTAAGGGAAGTATTTGATAGAATAAAGTTTTGTGCCTTTCAGTTTCAGCAATATAACTAAAATTTTCATATATCTAATCATCTCTCCATGAGTACTATACCAAGAAATATTAAGTTCTCTTTTTTTAACTCTTAATCAGAATTATAATACATTTTATAT